AAAAACGTTTCTACGTAATAATAATACTTAGTGCACGGTGAAAAGTCTTTGAGCGTCAGTGCGAATCACACCGCCTTAAGAATCCTCTAATGATGTAACGATTTCGTTCTCTCCTTGTTTTTTTCCTTGCTATACGTATATATATATATATATTTTTTTATATATTAAGAAATAATTTGTTTCTTAAAAAATACCTATGAATTGACCAATGATTTTTTTTCTTTGTTTTTTTTTCCTTTTTACGTGCACACCGCACATACACTGCCCATGGAGCTTAACAGAGTATTGCAAACCTTTCAACATTCGTACGCTCGTGTTCGATTAGCGAACAGTGCTAGAGGTAACAACGCGATATACGCTCGTCTTATCCTTAAAAATAAATAATAACGCATATCATATACCTTTTTTCCTTTTGAAGAAAATATATATACACAAATTGAACACAGCAATCTCCTTCGCTCTAGTCGAATAACTCCGTCCTACGTTAATTTAAAACTACTTTAAAAGGAGATCTATATAATATATGTAACAAACAGTTAAAAACATACAAAAACGAAATAACGCGAGGTTCTCGACGGTTTTTCTTTTTTAGAAGGAATCGTCTCGTTGCTTGCTGCCTTCGCGCGATCAATGTCCCCCGAATAATGTCACGAACTCGTTAAATATCATTTAGTAGCAAAAGCCCCCCCCCCCACTTTTTTTCTTTTTTCTTTCTCTCTTTCTTTTTTTTTGCGCCAGGCCAATTTGGAGTCCTCGCTCCCATTTCACCCCGACTAGAGGTTTTACGCACGCTCATGTAACAATTTTATACATAGTATGTATATAAAAAAGCTCTACGATATATCATTAATCAGGTAATCATGGGAACACAAGCGGCAAATCGTTAAATCGATACGGTAAAATATAAATGCTGTCCTCATATACGCCTCCCTCATCCCTTCATACTGCCGTATGTATTATTCGTATGCAGCCTCGATCGCTCAATCGCATTTGGTAATGCTGGATTCGATCAGTTCGCATTACTTACGTCTTAATAAGCATTATGATAGATAAGCCCCATAGGCAGATCAGGAGAGCGATACGCAAAATCAAGTTACAACGATAAAATAAAGCTATAGCAAGAATCCCCTCGGACAGGCCTGTCCAAGTTTATGGAGCGGGGGGAGTGGTTCCGAGAGCCGCTCGCGCCGCGTTGTCATCCGCGGGAAGGGCGGAGAACGTTTTCGCTCACGAGAGAAAGAAAGACCTCGTCCGAGACTCGGACGGGCCTGTCGTAAAATGACGCGGTGTGTGAGTTTAGAATCCTACATATAAATCTTCTTTTTTTTTCTCGCTACCCACGTTTATCACAGTCCACGCATGACCCATTTTGTCTCTTAGTATTTGAAGTCCTAAACGCCAACAACTTTTGAGCAATCCATCGGGTTGTTTAGATACGAAACACCCAACTAATCGATAAACATCTTGTGACTAGAACATCATAGAGCGCGAAAGACGAGACCCGCGGTCTGCCGCGAATGAAGCGAGGACGACGCTTAGTCTAACTTACGCTGCTCGCACAGTTCTTCAATCGCGCCGGCTTTTCTGTCGGAACAGAAGGAGTGCACGTATCACTTTATTACCCGTTTTGTTCACTATTTCGTTAGTGATTTTATGAAACCTTTAGTCTGGATTTACAATAAGTGTAGTAAGCCTTTAGCAATGGCGGACGGTGACTTATCGAGGCTTGATGCTAATGCTATTTCAAGAGCTCTTTATAAGTCAATGAAAAACTTATGAAAAAAAGCTTATGAATAAGTGAAGAGGGGCGATTGAAGTGCTTCCTTTCTCTGAGAACTTTGATGCTTCAGCGTTACTAGTTTTCATACAATCCCTTCACTAGTCTGTAACTTTTTGCTCGAAACAACAAAATGTAAAGTACCTCCCACAAAGGTGTTTTCTACACTGCCCAAAGTCCATAATGATACTGAAATCTTAGGGATTGCAACGTCTGGGAACGCTCTTTACTAGAAATTACATCTCAGTGCTCAGAGCAAGAGACTAAAGGCTTGCTATACAACATTTTTTTACTATTGCAAATCCAGCCTTAAGGACGGGAGTCGCCTGTTGACAATAAAGCATTTTTATAAGTTCCGAGAATCGTGTATGTACAACTAAATCATAGAATGTGACATATAACCACCTTACATTGCTAAATAGTCGACCTGCCCTTCTTGCGCTAATATTTCACCGGATTTTTCTTCATTCAGATCAGCTTGCCTGAGTCGACTTCCGTCCTTAGAAGGTTAAACGATAGAGTACGACGATGAAGAGAAAGATACTCACAACGTTGACATGTAAGGAGTGCCGGTGTGATCTAATCGGTGTTTATCGTCGTTTTTCCAGCTCGAGACTGGAATATGCGGGGGCGGCAAGAAGCTTCTCAGCGATTGTACAAGCTGTATCGTGTCGACCAATGCTGCAATTTGTAACGAGCAATATGAGAGTCTTTGCCGACTACTTGTACGAAAGAGGAACAGATTACTGCAAAGTTTTCATATTCTTATTTACTTTTTTGCAGAGCCTCAGACTGCTTGCCATATGGCTTGCACATTGCTGGTCGTACGCAAGCTTTCATTCTCGCCATGTTCTTCATTACCTCTGCGAAAGCGCGCACAATTTTCTCTTGACCACCTGGAACAAGATAAAAAGCATACAGTGTGTTAATTATAATGTTCAAGATAAGAAACCGGCCGGAAAAGCATAAATATATCAGTGAAGCTCTAACAGAAATTGCATTGACACCACTGGTCATCACTTCGAACAACTTCTAGAAACTTTCTTCACCTTTATCTGGCCATTAATAAGATATTTATATTTTTTTGGGGAGATATTCAAAGTAATAATAGTTACTGCCCTGGCCTGTATATTATCGAAGCTACAATAACAGTGAAGCTATGATCACCTTCCGAGTTTGAAGACGACGACCGAGATCCTTTCTCATTTTCTAAAGGCCATGCACCATTATGCAGTGCCAGTAGGTCCTTATTGGCGGACCCCAGTCCTTGCAAGTTTCCTAAACCGAGCCCGCTGAGATTGTCCAGATTATCCAGATTGGTGCGTAAAAAGTCTGTCAGCTTGTGATCGGAGATCGGTATATTAGACAACAGAGACTCGTAATGCTGCTTGCTAGCCGGCACTTTCTTCTCTTGCGATACAGGCCGATGCGGAATATTTAATGACGGACGGCTTGGAGGACGTTGAAGATTCATTTGATTGCCAGCACCCCTCATCTCTGGTAAATCCGCCGTGGATCCTCCTCCCATGTGCGTGTTCGGATTGGTACTGCTCAGCGTCTGTACGAGAGGAACGTCACGATAAAACAGACGGAAGTACATGTATATACCTTTCGTCGAATGCACGATGCGTTACACTCACCGCCTGAAAGTCCGTACTGTGCGGGAAACCAGTACGGAGAAGGGACGCGGTCGCCTCGTTCTCCTGGATGTAAGTGGGCGCCATGTGGCCCATCTTTTGAGTGAGCTCCAGCTGATTTTTATAATAACGGCAAGCCGGATTGGGGCAATTCTGCACGACCTCTATTATAAATTCCTTCTCCATGCCGAAGCACTCCCTACCGATGGTGTAAGACTCCATAACCGCCCTGACCGTGCCCTCCAAGCCCAGGTGTAAGCCGTGCGGGCCGTTCATGTGTTTCAACATTACAGCATTGGCAAAGTGCTCATAGGGGAGTATTATCTTCCCGTTCTCACGGAGAACTAATCTCCCCTGTGAATCCAATGCAACCCTGGACGCCATCATTCTGTAAACGAACGATCCGATAGCTTGTATAAATGTAAACAAAACAGATATGTAACTGAACTAACACCAGAAAGAGAGAGAGAGAGAGAGAGAGAGAAAGAAAGTGTGTAACTCCTTACTGTAAATAAGCAGCGCTTGGCATCATGGACGCGTCTTTGAACTCAGAGAAACACTGTAACAACTCGATACCAGGATTCCATCCTTTATTTTGCAAGTATGCTTGTAACAACATGTATATCTTCTCTGTGACATAACCAGCGCTACTTGGCGTAGCAGGATAGCCTGACCCTCCACCTGGTGGACCCATTTCTGTCTGCATACCTTTGGCTACAATGTTCTTCATAGTTTCTGCCAGATCCATTCTGCGTACAGGAAGACACACACAGATAAATTAACACAACGCACAAACCGCATGTGGCAGAAATTCCACTCGACTCACACGGAGGAGCGTGCAAAGGTATACACAGGAACGCGTCATGGCAATATTATTCGACACGCGGCCCAATAATCTCATTCGAACGTTATCCCGCGCGACTACGAGGTCCACAGTCGCCAGGATTTCGCCGGTGAACGCGGGCCTCGTCGCAGAGCCATTCGTCCTGGTTGACGGCGGCTCCACGGTGAGCGAGAGAAAGAGAGAGAGAAGAGCGGACGCTCGCTGATCGTCGTCCACGACGGAGCGCCGGTGGCGATCATCACGACGACGAGGACGTCGAGGAGCGCGCGCTCGCGATCTCTCCGCTCACACACGGCCATCATCTATCGCGAGCCGGCGGGACCGATAAAAAAGTGCTCGGGTGCTCGAGCCACCGCCCCCCTTCGGACAACGCGCGGGGGGGAGGAACACGCGGAATCGTACTCTCGGACATGCACTCACCCCGCGACCGCGGCTACCGCTGACACTCCACTCCACTGACGGCGAAGCCGGCTAGCCCCAGGAGCTCGTCCTCCGTCCTCCTCAATCGCCGCCGCTCGGCATCGCCCTTTTAATTAATTAAGCTCCCGGATCACATTTGCACAAATAACATAAATCGCGATAATTATTTTCGCGAGGGTCGCTTGCACGGTCCGCCGCCAGGGGCGCACCGTATTCTACGCGCTGCTTTTCGGCCGTGTGCATACGCGAGCGTGTCGCGTGTGTGCGTCGTGTACGTGTGTGTGTGTGTGCGAGCGAACGGGCGCGTGGGTGTTTTGTGTGGGTGTGCAATGCGTGCGCGTGTCGCTGAGCGCGGCCGGGGATAGGTGCGTGCGTGGGTGTGCTTACACACCGGCGACCCGGCTGCGCTTACGCGACGCCACTTTGCGCATTTATCAATATTACTTTTTGCAATTGATATATTACGCCCGGTCGCCGCGCCGCGCCGGCACGCCGCCGCGCGCGCGACGAATTAGACCGGCGCCGTGCGCTCAGCGCCGCGCCGCGACTCCGAAAATCGCGCACGGTCATTGAACTCACGCGAGCGACTAACCTCCGGGAGTACTCGCTGTGTGTGTGTGTGTGTGTGTGCGCGAGCTGGCGAGCGTTCCTCCTCTTCTTCTTCTTCCCCGATCCCGTTGAAAGAGAGAGTTGTTGTTTATCTTGTGCTGCTCTCCCTTCCATTTGGAAGTTTCCAATCCCATCTTCATTTACAGTCGTGATCGATTAATCGGGGAAATGGAGGAAAAGCGCCGAAACTGATATGCCGTTTGTTTTTGGGCTCCAAAGCCTCGTCGAAAGTGTAAAATTGAAATTTATGGATGTAAAGACTTGATACTCTACCAAAGCATATGATAGTCTTGTGGAAATTATTACACGTTTTCTTGCGAATAATTATTTTTTAAGATGTTTGAGGGCTAACGCTTCTAGAAAGTACACCCTAAAACCGACATGTTTATACTTATAGAAAATTAGCAAGAAATTAAATAAGAAAGTATTAAAAAAATCACACACATACTTCGTATATTTATTATATATCCTTACATTAATATATTTGTGGGGGACGGTATGGCCTATGGCCACCGCGCGTACTGAAGGAGGAGGGGAGGAAGATCTCCAGTACGGGTAGCCCTGTGGGTGTGCACTAATAAAGCGGAGTCCTTATGACTGCTCACAGGCAGCTGTATTTTCTGGCTAAGTACAAACTCGCAAGCGTAACAAAGGAAAACGATGTGCTAAAAACTAAGGAACGCGGCGTAGAACAAAATGGCCGCAGCGCAAAACGAAATGGGCGCGACACACAAAAAGATGGTCGCGCGGGAACAAAAATGGCCGCAGCGCAGAACGCAGAAATCGGAACGCTATTTACAGTGAGAGCTCGGCTCGCTGGGACGCCGGCTCGTACTCTCACGCGGAGAGAGATACGAGACACAGGCCGATCAAGGCGTCGCGAGGGCGACGGTCGCGAGGACGACAGCGGCGAGCGGTGTCGCGAGGGCCGGAACGCAGGCACTGATGCGTGCTGGTTCATGAGTCGAAAACGGAACGCACAAGGGTAAACACTAGGAAACACTTACGAGTACGTCCACGCTGTCCAGAGTCCGAGGAGGAAGAGAGCGAGCCGACGTTCTGGCACGACCGCCGGGATGCTTCGAAAACAAAACACGAGCGCGCTACGGAACACGTGGTTGGCCGGCGGGGTCGCGTGACACTCTCGTGGTTCCGCCGCGTCGCGCGCACCGCCGGAACCATGAGAGTGTCACGCGACCCCGCCGGCCAACCACGTGTTCTGTGGCGCGATCGTGTTTTGTTTCAAAGCGTCCCGGCCAGGACCTCGGATCGCTCTTTTCCTTCTCGGACTCTGCACAACACGGACGTGCTTCTGAGTGTTCCTCGGTGTTCACCCTTGTGCGTTCCGCTTCCGACACTACGAACCAGTGCGTATCAGTGCCTGTGTTCCGCAGCTCGCGATTCCGCATCAGCTTAGTGCCTGCGAGTGCGAGTTACATCCTTGTGCCACGCGTCGTCCTCGCGACGCCTCTCGCCGCCGATCGCTCTCGCGACCGCCGCCCTCACGACACCTTGGGGGGCCTGCGTCTCGTATCTCTCCCCACGTGAGAGAAGAAGCCGGCTCCGCGTTCCAGCGAGCCGAGCTCTCACTGTAAGTAGCGTTCTGATTTCTGCGTCCCGCGCTGCGGCCATTTTTGTTCTCTCGCGACCATCTCATTGCGCGTCGCACCCATTTCGTTTTGCGTTGCGGCCATTTTGTTCTCTCGCGACCATCTCATTGCACGTCGCACCCATTTCGTTTTGCGTTGCGGCCATTTTATTCTCTCGCGACCACAGCGTTTAGCGTCGCGCCCATTTCGTGCCGCGTCGCGGCCATTTTGTTCTACGCCGCGTTCCTGTTTTTAGCACATCGTTTTCCTTTGTCACGTTTGCGAGTTTGTACTTAGCCAGAAAATACAGCTGCGTGTGAGCAGTCATAAGGACTCCGCTTTATTAGCGCACACCCACAGGGCTACCCGTACTCGAGACCTTCCCCTCCTCGTGCACGCGCGGTGGCCATAGGCTATTCCGCTCCCCACATATATTTTAAATATTACATATTTTTTTTTAAACACTAAAATTACACCACTTAAAACAGCAAAAATTTTATGATATATATTGCTTTTTATTATGCGGAAAGAATCCAACTTCTTCTTTTCGATCAGCTTAAATAAAAGAAACAAAAACAGAGTGGTCTAATTGAAATCGAATCAATGACTGAAGTCACAAAAGCACGCCAATGAATATTTTCGAATATAGCCTTGGGTGTTTCAGAACAGCTGGTGTTTAGTGGTATGAACACATTGTGGATTCCCGAACGCAACTTAGATCCGGACAGAACTGTTAGCCGGATATAAAAGTTACTAGAAATTACTGGAAATTCCAGTACATCTACTAAAATGAATACTAGGGGTGCGTTCTCTTTGGATGCTTACGCACTTTAAGGTCCACATTCGTAACGTACTAGTATGTACGTTAACGTGTATGTTTCTAAATACGCGAGATGTAGATACGTTTGTATAGATGCGTTCGTATTCAGAATGCAGGAACAGAGCATTATTATCCAAAAGCGCGATAACAACAACCAATCCTTGTGCTCGTTCCAGTGCTCTATGATGCTATTGGCTCCTTTCATATCGCGTAATGCAGCAAGAATATACAGCGCGCATAACACTGCGATGGTCAAACGTTCGTTGACATTTTATTAAAGTATGTGCAGTGAGTATATTTATTAGATTTATTTACATGTTATTGTTGTAATTTCTTACATTGTTTATTCATTTTCCATCAGCGAATCCATTATCATAAATATAAATGTACTTTTTTTTTATGGATGAGCGATAAGAAAAAAGACAATTTTTCTGACGAAAAAAAAAACAATAATTCTCTTTTTTATGTTTTAATACAATACACCGTACTTAATTTTTATAATATATAATGTTTTAATTAAAATCTTTAATTGTTGAATAGTACACTTTTTATTTCATAATATTATCTAGTTAGCTATGGTGTTCAAAATTTTTTAGTTGACGATATTCATTTTATTCTATTCTAAACATTTAAGGCTCTCCGGTCATTAATGAGGGCACCATTGAGGAAATAATCTTCGGTCACGCCTGACCAACATGGCAGTCAACGTGTTAAAAACTCTCGCAGAAAACGGTACAATACTGTTTTAACTGTTTCAGCAATACTGTAGAGCTGTAGAGTTAATCGTTCGTTTTCTCGAATAGGGGACATTCTTTTACAAACCGTACAGATTTGGTCGAAAATTGACCGACACATTTTTGATTTAGCTAAAACTTGTTTTACGTGTTCTATATGACAAAAAAAGATATACCTATTCGAGGATTTTTCTTTTGTTTCATTTTTTTGGAAAATAGAAAGGATGTTAAATTTGAGAATTTGGTAATGTTTGGCTTGAAGTATATTTTTTAAAAATTCATAACTTTGGTTCTATTTGAGCTCCAGATTTCATTTTTTTTATTTTGAAGGTAAAAGAACGAGTTTTAATAAAAAAGTACTTGAAAAAACAATTATTAATAAATTCAAATGATTATAAACAATTAAAATGTTTAAATCGATTTTTAACAATTGCTCCGCCCTCGTATCAAGTTTTTAATATTTCTATCGTGTTCTATGTCAAATTTCCTTTCGAAAACGCTTTTTTAATCGGTGGACAAATAATTATTACTATAAGAAAAACATTAATTAATCTAACGCGGTTCGTTACATCGGCGCGCGGGTCACATCGCACGGCCCATTTTCTTGTCTCATGTCGTTTTTCTCTGAAATATTAATAATTATTCCATTTTTTAATTAAATAATCTCATTTGTTAGCCAAGAAATCCAGTATTATATAACATAATAGTCTTAAAATATGTACATGTACATATAATATGTACATGTACATGAATATATTTTAAGACTTATGTTATATAATACTGGACGAGGTACTTATTAACTAATTATAACGTATCGAAATATTAATAAAGTAATTAACATTTTTCAATAATGATGTTTTTTATTTATTTATTTATTTATTTATTTCCTCAATTTTTTATAAAGTCTTCTTGGCTAATAAATGAGATTATTTAATAAAAAAAATGGAATAATCATTAATATTTCAGAGAAAAACGACATGAGACAAGAAAATGGGCCGTGTGACCCGCGCGCCGATGTGACGAACCGCGCTAGATTAATTAATTTTTTTCTTAAAGTAATAATTATTTGTTCATCGATTAAAAAAGCGTTTTCGAAAGGAAATTTGACGTAGAACACGATAGAAATATTAAAAACTTGATACGAGGGTGGGGCAATTGTTAAAAATCGATTTAAACATTTTAATTGTTTATAACCATTTGAATTTGTTAATAATTTTTTTTTCAAGTACTTTTTTATTAAAGCTCGTTTTTTTACCTTCAAAATAAAAAAAATGAAATCTGGAGCTCAAATAGAACCAGAGTGATGAATTTTTAAAAAATATACTTCAAGCCAAACATCACCAAATTCTCAAATTTAACATCCTTTCTATTTTCCAAAAAAATGAAACAAAAGAAAAATCCTCGAATAGGTATATCTTTTTTGTCATATAGAACACGTAAAAAAAGTTTTAGATAAATAAAAAATGTGTCGGTCAGAAAGGTGTTCGGTTTGTAAAAGAATGTCCCATAGTCGAGAAAATATGGTAAAATGTTAACAATGACCGTGGAACAAAGCAGGTCTTGCAACTGATTCGAGTCCCTTTTCCCTTCCTTCTCATTCTCTACATTTACCTGTTGGAGTCTGCTAGAGGTTCGACCATTTCGCTCGTAGCATCCAGGTAAGACAGACGTAAAGTACATACACGGCACGTGGTTTATACGAGGTCTGTTCAAAAAGTATCGCGAATTTTGAATTTCCGCGGATTACGTACGATATATTCGATTTTCGATTTTTTTGTGGTGTTATGTTGGTACTCACTGTGGTTTTGTGGTGTTATGTTGTCCCTCACTTATGCCGACAAGTTCGGCCATTTTGAATATTCAGTTTATCTTTAATAGCTGTTTTGCTTGGACGTGTTTTGGCTCGTCTTCGATTTTGGCCTATTCCAAAAAATGGATCAAAGAATCTAACAAAATTAAGGGGGTCATCCCGTGTGACGGCTTCAAAAAATCGATTTTTTTTTTTTGCATAAATCTAATCTAGAGCATGCATAGAATATACTGGCAAAGTAATTTTGGCAAAGGATTTTTTAACTGGTGCCCATGATTGTTCGAAAACGGTTCAATGGATTAAAATAAAATTTTAATGGTAGATTCAGCACATGTGTGGCTATCGTGGGAATTAGAATTTAAAAAAATATTGAACCGTTTTCTGTCCGCATAAAAAAATATTCGCAAAAATCATGCTATTTTGAGTTATAATTTTTAAAAGCATACCAAAAATGGAATTTTTAATATTTCCAAAAAATCCTAGTTTCCACGATAGCCATTCACGTATAGATTAAAATGCAATTTGATCTTTTGATTTTCGATAAACCAGTGCCGGAATCGTGGGCACCGTTTGTCTGCTTTTTTTACATGGGTGCCATTCCAGTAATGTAACTCGCCATCGACGCCATATTTTTTAATAAAAAAATTTACACATATAGTTTAAGATGTAATAAATATATAGTAAAAATTTGGAAGCTCTGTATTTTTTTATTTCGCCGCAAAAAAAATGAAAAAAAAAACCTTAAAAAAACGGTCGTCACACGGGATGACCCCCTTAAATGCGCGGACGCATTCCGAATGTTGACTGTGGCATATGGTGAAGCTACCTTGGACCGAAGCAATGTTTATCGATGGTACAAAATGTTCTCAGAGGGCCGAGAAGATGTGAACGACGAAGAGCGTGCCGGACGCCCGAGCACGTCAACAACAGACGAAAACATTGATGAAGTGAAGAAAATAGTATTGGTCAATCGTCGAATCACCGTTAGAAAAGTTGCTGAGGACCTAAACATATCGATTGGCTCGTGCCATTCGATTTTTACTAATGATTTGGGCATGAGACGGGTCGCCGCGAAATTCGTACCAACGCCCCTGCTCACACATCGTTGTTTGTGCGCGAATTTTTGGCCAAAAACAACACACTAATGATGCCGCAGCCACCGTATTCCCCAGATCTGGCCCCCTGTGACTTTTTCTTGTTCCCGAAACTGAAGAGGCACATGAAAGGACGACGCTACGCTACGATTGAGGAGATAAAGACGGCATCGAAGAAGGAGCTGAACAAGATCACAAAAAATGATTTTTTGAAGTGCTTCAAGGATTGGAAAAAACATTGGCACAAGTGTATAATATCTGATGGGGATTACTTTGAAGGAGACAAAATAGATATTCATGAATAAATAAATAATTTTTGAAAAAACACAAAGTTCGCGATACTTTTTGAACAGACCTCGTATGCACGTAGTTTTTATCTTCCCCCCACACGCTTGAGATCGATTTGTGGCATTTCTGCTGGGAATCGGTCGTGAATCTTTTATTCTAACATAAATTCATGAAAAATCGAAATTTTCTTACTTGAAAGCATTTGGAAATGATCATTTTTTGGCAACAGCAACCGTAGCAGCAACAACAGTAGTGGCAACAACGGCATATTCAATTCGCATTGGTGCAACAATGTCTGAAATGCAAAATGGTTTGAACGCAATGGCGATGTCACAACTGCTGTATCGACTGCAGCAAGGACCAGGGCTAACGGGATTGACATCTTATAATGCCGCCGTCGCCGGATATCCGTGGATCAACGCTCAAGCGGAACTTCTTGCCAAGCAACATCTTGCCCTTCAGCAGCAGCAGGCAGCAGCAGCGGTGAGTCCAGCGAATGATACATGCGCATTTTTTTCGATGGTGCTATTATTGTTGCTGTTGATATTGTTGCATATTAGTATGATTAATTCACGCTTGATCGATTCTACCGGCTCGCGAGAAATTTCCTCAGAATTGCACATAGAAAAATACTGTGTTGGCGCACGCTCGAAGCGTTGCTCGAAAAATTTCTCTTTTCCCTTTGTTACGAACGCTCAGATGGGGTGGAAGAGCGAGCGACGATTTAATCGCCAAAACGGTGGAGAGTTCGCACGCCGCACGCCACGTAGGGGATTCGTCCGAGTTGACGTTGCTTTCGTCGATGACGCGAAAGCACGAGCGCGCTATGCAGAATGGCGCGCGCGAAGGGCGCGAACCCTCGGCCCTTCGCCCACATTAGGATTCGGGTTGCCTGCACGCGAGACGCGTGACGATTCGCCGACGCGCGAAGGGCGCGAAAGGCCCTTCGTAAGGCGGTTAGCCCCCGGGCTCCCCCGCCCCTCCGGACGGAGCGGAACTACGCTCCTGGTGACCTACAGATCATCCTGAAGGCCCTTCCGGACCTTCTGGCGCACACACGGCGTCGCGGGGAGGTTTACTTACTGGCTTCGGCGGCGAAAGTCCGGCGCGCGCGAGACCATCTCGCCTGGCGCGCTGCAACCCGACGTTCGAGCCTCGCTCGATCCGCAACATCCTTGCGCAATTATTTCCTGTGTACTGTTCTTATAGACATATTTATTTAACTTTGATGAGAAAAATATTATTCAACTAAGAAAAACGATTAAACAGTTTCTTTTCATTCTTTTAAGTAATGATTATCTTCGACAGAAAATATATGTCTTGATAATAGTCTTCAAATATGCTCATCGCAAAATTTGGAAGAGTTTATTATCGTGTACTCAGGAGAAAAATGTATTCTTTTTTCAAGAATATTATAAACTTTAGTGAAAACAATTGAATTCGGTTAATTTGAATAAAGCAAACCGATGTTTGTTTTAATTTAATATTCTGAATTGAAATATTAAATTTACTACGATTCAAAATATATCTTAAATAAATCTGATATTTACGATGAATTCATGATATTCTTGTAGATATATAGATTTATGAAATGTTTGAAATAAATATTATTTACTTGAATGCAATATATATTTTTATATAATAGTTTTCTGCAATTTTTGTTTTCCAGTATGTAAAGAGAGACATTAACCTTTTACAGTCTCTACACATTTCGTTACGTCTTCAAGGAGTGATAACTTTTTCTTTTTTTTTTTTTTACTGAGAAACGAAAAATAAATATATAATAAAAAATAAGAATATTGAATTTCTCCGCTGAGAGACTTGTAACATGGTGCATCATACTTACAAAAAAGCTATGTACCGTGAGAGAAACGATAAAAGGAATCGATAAGAAAAATAAAGAAATGTCCGAATATACGTGGGAATCGAGGTAAATCGCAATAAAGCATTTTTGTTTTTACAGATGAATACTATGGCAGAATCGCAGAAAAAAACACGCACGCGTATCACCAACGAGCAATTCAAGATCTTGCGGGCGCATTTTGACTTAAACAATTCACCTGAGGAGAGACAGATTTTATTGATAGCTGCTCAGAGCGGTCTGCCGCCGAAAGTTATCAAACATTGGTTCCGCAATACGCTGTTCAAAGAGCGGCAGCGCAATAAAGACAGCCCGTACAACTTCAACAATCCGCCGAACACCACTCTGAATCTCGAGGAACACGAGAAGACTGACGAGGCGGAGGGAAATCCGTTGAACTCGAGCGTGTCGGACGGCAGTTCCTCCGAGGACAAAAGTTCGAACGAACATGCCTCACCGCCGCCGTCGATGTCGAACGCGAGTACATCGCAGCAGCTGCAACAACAGCAGCAACAGCCGGCCGAGCAGGGGGCATCTGAGCAAGCGCAGCGCCAACAGCAACAGTCGCAGCATCAAGAGGAGCAGCAACATCATTCGCCTAGCAGCTCAGGCGTCCAACAATCGCAACCGTACTCGTCCGCCCTCAACATGAGCTCCGTCTTCTCCGGCATTCACCACGACGTCTCCTCCCACGCTCCGTCGACCATCCCGACTACCTCGATATTACTTCAGCCTAAACCAACGCTCCAAAATATAACAAATTTAACACCGGACACATATGGCGTAGTACTGAACACGATCGCCACTATGACGCTTGCGCCGCCGCACGTGTCTCTCGGTTCGGGCCATCAGCTGACAGATTATTCTTTCATCGACAATAGCAACGGCAACAACTCCAGTATCAACCACACGGGATTCACCGAATACCAAATCAAAGTCCTGCAAGAATTTTTCAAGAATAACGCGTATCCGAAGGACAGCGACCTGGAGTACCTGAGCAAAGTGCTGAGCCTGAGTCCACACGTGATCGTGGTGTGGTTTCAGAATGCTCGGCAAAACGTACGCAAGGTTCACAAAAGTCCACCCGAGCTCGCAACACCGGTATTTTTGCATCATGTTAATACTCAGCAGGAACAAAAGCAACATCCGTATGTCACAGCAATAGGTGAAGCAATGAAGAAAGTACCAGGTGAACAAAAATTGGCTTGTTTCATGTCGGTCATGCAAGTAATTTCAACTTTTACATAATTTCCGAATAGGTGAGATCGTGACGAGCAAAATAGTCTTAGATGCTCTGTGTCTTTCAATATAATACAAAAGTAGTTTAATGTCATTGTAACGATGCATCCCCCCCGGAAAACACTGCGGCCGAACGACCATCCGTCGGTCGCAAAACGGTGCTCAGCGCCACATAAACAATTGCCACGCGCGGTGCAGACGTCCGACACATGTACGCGTTGGCAACAACAATGTTGAAAAACTGTGCAAATTACTTGCATGATCGACGTGAAACAAGTCAATTTTTGTATATCTGGTACTTTCTTCATTGTTTCATCTATTGCTGATTTACGGATGTTGCTTTGTTCCTGCTGAGTATTAACCCTTTGCACTCCGGGCCTTTTTCGCGCGACGCATCAGCAACTCCAGACGTTTCGCAGTTCTTTTGACGCATTTCTTACCAGTGACTTAAAATCATTACACACACAAATTAATGTATAAAATTTTTATATTTTAACATTTTATATATCTCTACGCCTTTACAAATATAATTTCTTAAATATTAGTCTCTATAATTTTTCTGTGTGTGATATTTCATGAAACAATTCCCTAGATGCATGCCCGGCTTGTCGGAGCAAGTATTACAATAATATGTGGACTGATGCCTTTTTCCGGGTTTATTCCTCTCAGAACAGACTTTGCAGTCCTTCCTAACTCCTGTTAGAATATTGTGGAGCTTACCATTCAAACAGATATTTTCGGAATCCGAGGTTGAAGTCGAGGCTCGATCGTGTGGTTGGCGAAAATCTCCAGTCAATTGGTGGACTAATGTTTTCAAATATTTCAAATGATTAAGCGGCTGTTCGCTTTTCTGCTGTTTAGTGGCTTTATATAAAATATATGAATTTATTAGACAAATTTCCAAGCCCCAAAAAACATTTACCCGTGTCGAAGAAACTAAACGTAAACAGTTACTGCCGCGCATCCAGTTACCGTAGTGGTGACCGAGTGTCACCTCTTGAGTTGCGGCATCAAACCACATGGTGAGTGAGAGTCACCACTGGGAGTGCAAAGGGTTAACATGATGCAAGAATGCCGGTGTTACGAGCTAAACAATCACGTGTCGGAAAAACTGTGCCGGAGCGATATAAAAGACCGTTCCACCGTGATAACGACACCGATACCACCGGAGTCAGCCGGATCGAAAGATCGCAAGCTGCACGTCGGCCGAGTCCGCCGTGTCGAGGCACGATACCGCGTGCCCTCCGCTCCGGGGCTCGACGCGAGCACTCCGCGTGCAGCAACTACCGCGCACCAAATTATCGCGAAGCACGAATGCATCCCGTCGTATGCATAGCGATCCGAAACATACGAATTTTCAAGTCCCGAAGCGACACCGCGAGCGTCACCAAGCGTCTGCGACACTTAGGTTCCGCGAAACTCGTTACGCCGAATAAAACCGCGATTAAAACCGTCAGAATAGACCACTGCGAAATAAACACGGGATTCCGTGTCTAAATCTGTCACCGATGTTTACAGCCTAAAACGATAGGTTTAAAGCACGGCCCGCTAATAATCCTCTGTACCGAGTAACGCGGAAAATAATTTAATAAGCGGTGTTTGTTAAAACCGCACGCCTCTGTTCACTCGCTCACATACTCGCGTGCGCATACCGAAAAGAACGCCTGGAAATCCGGCGAGCTACGCTGGGATCACCGTACGCTACCGAGCACAGTCAACCGTGACACCGGACGACCACCCCACCGGGGTTGGGCCGAGGTCCACCGACCGGCGGGGCACGGGTCACAACGTAAATATGTCTGTTCAAATATAAGGTATTATGTTAGTTGCTTAACCCCTTGGCCTACACGATATCTGCCAATTGCGCGAGCTATAGTAAACAAGAAAATCGGTCGCGCGCCGTGCCATTCAACTGTTCAGCCGTGTACCCGAACTGGCGCAAAATGTATACCTTTCATGACATATATATTTCAGTGCAACGAAAGGAATTGTGAAATAATAAACAATGTTTAGGTACAAAAGTATTGGATGTGGAATAACTCCATTCGCTTGTCCGAATAATACGCGGCATCTTATGCACCAATTCCTCACCCATTCCTCATACTTAGTAAAAGGAAATGTTATTTTTGCATTTTTTTATTGCACACATGAAACCACCAACAATTCGTCCCATTTTACATATTGATTGTTGTTTAACAATATATATATTAAGGGGGCATATATCTTTCTCGGCTTCAAAAAATCGATTTTTTTTTTATATATTTTGAAAAATTAACATTTCAAGAATGTGTATCCGAAGCCGTTTGAAGAAATTCGAAATTGACGAAGATACGTTATTTTATACTGATCGCCGTCTCGGTGTTCCACAAGCCGTTACGGAGGAAAGCGAAGGTAGTCCGCGTCGAGCCCTTACACAACTGATCCTTTCATTGTAATTCACATGAAACTTCGCCTTTATGTAGTAGGTACATCACTCATTCGATAGATGGCGCTTTGAGTGTTTTTCTGAATAATTTTTATGCTATATATTCAGTTTTTTGGCATATGTTTTGTTGGACGCACGTATTATAATGAGTGCAGCGAAAAGTAGTCGAGAACCGAAACGAAGCGGTGCATTTCGCAAAGATTGGATGTCAAAACGTCTAAAGTCACCAAATAAACTGGTTTTCGTAAGCGTATTGGAGCAATTGTTGGGAACGGGAACTGTTGGAAATTTTAAGTCCATGTCGGTGTCTAATGTGCTCGTGCCGAAGAATGGCACTTCAAATTACCGAAATCCAAACTCTAATTCCGTTTTTAATGAAATTTCACAAGTTGTAAAATATAAAACGTGCGGAGATAACGTGAACTTCCAGGCAGGAAATACTCACGAGCTTCGTTTTAACATTTCTATTAATTGTGAGAAGTGCAGTTCAAAAGACATTTCTTCTTGTTCGGAAATCGAGCTATTATATAAAATCAACCAGCGATTCAGTCATGTATTGCGTTGCTCAGGACAAGGAGAATCTGCCGAGAAAAGATTTTGTGAGTTAATGGACCTGCCTCCTCTTCTCGCTCCAACATTACGCGATGGAATTCAGTGTCTTCCCCGGGAGGCTCGTATAGCCCCGGAGGTTTATATGGCCCCGGTATATGATCATATGTAAGTCGCAAGAAAACCTCTTTATTATAGTGTAAACTTGTTTGGAAACTTTAAACGCGTTTTTCTCGAAATTATGTTTTTAAAATCGATACCATAAATATCAATAACTAGTCAACCGATTCCCCTCCCCCCCTCTTTTTCTTTTTGTCTTAGCTTACAAAATTAGTTTATAAAATTCTCTAGTATTTGACCCATTACTTTTTTATATCTTAATTTTTTATATTTTTTTCACACGCTTAAAAATGAAATTTATACGTGATAAATGATACCTTAAGTTTGAATGTCTGCCTTTTTATTTTAGATTCGAAATTTAAAAAAAGCATGGGTTAAATACGGGTAAATTTAATAAACTTTAAGGTGCAATATTGATTTTTGATTTCAGGATGAGCGGCCAAGGACCAATCCATGATCCTGTCGAGCCAACTTCGAGGAACTGTAGGGGGTAAAGGGGGGTTATTTTACTTCAATAAAAATTGATTTACAAGTCTAAAGTATGTTCTTTAATATAAAAGAAAACTCGATCCTAATGTTTTCTTCTTCTTTCTTGAAAAAAAAATTGTGAAAATGAATTATTTTTCGGGTCGAGTAAAGTATATGCCCCCTTAAAACTCAGTTACTTTTTAGCAGCCGTGATTTATATTAACACATTGCGTACGCGTTACTCTACTCGCTCAACACAATTATATACACATCTATTCGCTAACCATTTGTTTCGAGAATGCGCGAGACTTCGTTACCCTGGTAACGTAACAAGAAAATCTATTTTTAATTCCTTAAGTCATTGATTAAATTGAGGAAACCTGAAAACGAGATATCTCGTCGCCCGGCCACAACGTTCGGCTTACTAAAAACGAGATTTCTCGTCACCCGTACGCAATGTGTTAACATATATACATAACCACAATTCTTCACTTGACATATTGTCGATAGTAATGCGATGCATGCACTGTAGTATTTCTCCGACGCTGTTCCCACCAACACAAGTGCCGCTGTTGGTTATACATATACTGTGAGCAAACTGCATATACGTGCAGTTTACTGCAACGTGCATCGGATGGCGCCACCATACACACGCGACGTGTCTATCATCTTGCTAAGGAGCAGATAAATTCAAACTTGATGCTCTTGGTGCAACACTTGAAACAGTATCGATTATTTTCCGAAAACATTTTGTTCTTACGGTAATAAGAATATAAAGAAATATAAATATAAAGGAGATGAAAATTACACGTGGAAATTATTGATAGAATCATGTGTAATAATATACATGTATGTTCTGTTGGAATGTTACCGACGTGTGATGTAATCGGATACTACTTAACCAAGGTAATAACGTATTCTAAATGGTCGGCAACCAGTCAGTTCGAAACCTTCATCAGTAACGTTCTAACGGTCAGTACTCGCCAAGTAATTAAGACATTTGCATAAAAGCACATATATAATCGCATCCTCATAAATATTGAAGAATCCTTAGTATCGTTGTCCAATCCGTCAGAGTTTTATTTGAAACTGAAGCGTCGAGTACTGCGTAACATTGGTATTTTGATTCATAACCCCAAAAATTCCGCCCAACCGGAAAATTCGATGAAAAATCAACGAAAAGGTGTTAACTCTACGTATACTGTTATTATTCCACCTATACGCTATACTCAGTTGCAGAAAAGCAAACGAGAGAACCAAAACAAACGGCAAAAAAGGCATTATTATCGCTCACCAATCGCCAACGGCGTTGTCCGAGTTAATTTAACGACCGAGTGATCGCAATCAGCACTTTTTAAATATTCTGGACCTTGAGGCGGTTGAATTTTCCCGAGTATTCCCATTATTTTGAGTAGCTGGATATTATATGTTGTTCCCGTCGGGTGATTAAAATATTTCGTCGGCTCGTGAAATATCTAATTGGACTCTAGTCGGCACCAGTGTTTAACGCGTTTCCCGAATCGTGCCTAAGTGAGTATCGGTGTTAGTGCCACAAATGAGTATCCGGAGTTCCACAACAAGAGCCAGAATGTCGAAATTAGAGAGCCGGAACGGAGGAAGGCAGGACACCGAGAATATATCGATACATCATATATTTCTAGGTATGTAAAATGACTTATCATACAGGAGTTTTCTGACTTTTATTAATGATTGGCGAATTTAATCGTGTAATTATAACACTTGTAATAACGTGCTATAAACAATTAAATCAAATATGTCATAAATTACAAAAGTTATAAAACACAAATCTGAAATATCTCGATTTATTTTAATATACTTGTATAAAAGATTTTACTTTTTATATTAAAAAAATATCTTGAATCCTTTATCCGTTCCTTATACAGAGAAAATAGCGTTAATAAAAATTGTCATGCAAATTTTCTAATATTGGACTATACTGAAATTATGACTGAAATTACAATAATGTATGTTGTAGTCTATAATAACATATTCAATAAAGTATGTCACTAAAGATTATAACACGCATCATAATTTAAGTTATAATTCCAGTATGGTCCAACATTACAAAATGTGTGTGGTAATTTTTACTACAATATTTTCTCCGTGTACTTTGTGATTATGTGAAAATGAACGGGAAGATATTATTATTACCTCTACCAATTTAAAAAGGTTATCATTATCTGTTTATAGAAAAAAATGATAACAGAAAGATAACCCTGTTATGCATCTCAGATTTAATTAAACACGAGTTACTTTACTTATACAAACAATGTCATTCGAGTCGTTTGCAAGAACTTCTGTTCAAAGAGAAAATCGACGTTGCAAGATACGTTTCAAGACTCATTTGCGTCGATTTTGCGTATTTTAATACAAGC